CTACTAAAGAGGCATAATTGAGAAGAAAAAAATCAAACAAGAAGTTCGTTGCCAAGCAAAATAGGGATTTCTTATCACGGAAAATAGAGGGAAAGGACGGGAAAGCGCAATTTAAAAACACACAGAGATTTGCATTGTATGAGTTGTGACATACTTCTGATACATCCACACACATTATCCTAACACCAGGTATTCTTCGTCAAAAAGTCTCCAGCTCTTAGAAAATGGAATTATTAAATTGAAGCAAAAGATGGCATGATATGCTAAATAATAATGAAGAATTCCTTTTATCTTAATCCTCGTCATTTATTGTTTTTTGAAATAAGAATTCGGGTCACAAAAAATTCGCATTATTTTGGCAATTCCCCCCCCCCCCCCAACCTAAGAGACATGTCGTTCTACTTTTCAACACCTCAAAATCGGCTGTTCCAAAAAGGTAGGTAAGGGGGGCCACATGACTCCAGAATTTAGAATTCATTAAAAACTATTTTAAACGATGGCCCTCTGCCCAAATCGTTCTGTCCTCTGTCCAAAAACACGTTTAAAAGTGAAACTGTTTTCTTACCCTCGACCCTAAGAAGAAGGTTCAAGGTTTTTTTTTTCATAAAATTTCCAAAAAAGTCGAGTGTTGAAACGGAAATCACGAAGAATTTTTGTTAACGTTAAAATACTCTTGTTTTCTCTGAAAGAAGAGAATTTACTGAAACTGCAGGAAATTTCAATGAATTTGAAACAAAAAGTTTATGATAAAAGTCCAATAGCAAAAACACGCCAAATCTCTTTGCGTCTAGCAGATGTCGCCATTGTTCCCTCATCCTCCAGGTTCACAATGCGTGCACTCATTTCCAAGTCAATCGAAACCAGGGATTTGTCCCATGAAGTCAACTTTTCGAAATGCTGATCAACTTCTTTTACGTCAATTTTGTAGAAATTAAACGAATAATCAAAACAAGGGATATTCTCTCCAGTTTTATAGTTTTTCGGATGATCGAGTAGAACAAAATATGTCTCTTCTCTTTTCCTTTTCTACCGGTATTGCTTGGGCATTGCAGGAAAAGAAATGCGCCAACCTCATCGAAATTGTCTTTAGACTTTAAAGACAAATTTTGAAGAGGATCACCCTTAAACGGGCCAATCATCGAGCCTCCTTCTCTCACTTTCAATTGATCGTTCAGCGCTTCTCGAAATTCTGTATAATTTTGTAACAATTCAATAAAAGCCTGTTCTGTGCATTCATAGAATTTGCATCTCTTTGGGAAACGGATATTCAGAATCATCAGGAACACCGAATTTCAGTGAACATCTCGGTTGGCAAGCACAAGGCAATCTTGGCGGGCCACTCATAAACCCCAAATTCCGAATCGACAAATACATCTCGAATTTCTGGTCACTTGTGAAAACGCTTTTGAAAGGATCCTCTTAAAACTACCGGTGAATTGAGGCATAAGATCGGCAACAAAATCGAGTGTCGGCATAAAGTCGAGCATTTTATGAGTACAATTTAATGGATTATTTGAAGGATCCGAGAAAAAAGCCATAAATCAAAAACTAGCGCAAGAGATTTTGCGCAGAAAATAGCGACAAATTGCCTCAGAGCACGGAAACCTTTCTCAATGGTGTTTCGGAAAGAAAACTCGGGCTTGTAAATTGTAATTTGTAGCAATTGTATTGATAAAAAGGACAGAGATTGTAAGCAAGTGAGTATTTCTCCATCGATTAGCGCCACACGGCTAAAGTAGACCTCTACTGAATGAAGTTTCTTCGGAAAGACACCATTTAGAAGCACGTATTGACGAAGCGCTCTGCAAGTTTTCAATAAAATGATCCATTCGGCGAAACGAGCCGATTTAAAAGCAAACCCCCTCAATTTTGGGGAAATTTTGAGTAGTAGGAAGCTCATTGCTGAGAATGATCGATTTTGGATAGGACTAGAATCCCCTCAAGGATTCCTGAACAGATAGCTCAAGGAACAACAGAAAAGAGACACAAAGCCTTTAGCTATCTGTATCATCAGCATCACATAAATTCATCAGCTCAAAATTGCACCTCGTCCCGAAAATGCGCGATGAGACCGGTGTTGAGATCGGTGGCTTTCCTCTGCTCCAAGAACTTTTCCATAATTCCGGTGTTGACATTCTGAAATTGACAATTGAACATCAAGCTGATAGAAGAAATATCGAGTTTCCTCGAAAGCCCTTGAGAATATTGAGAGATAAGGAAGCTGCTTCGATCGAGTCCCGGAAAAGCCTCGTCGAATTTGTGACTGCAATTCTTATTAAACCGCCCGCATCCCCCGACCAACTTGAGCTTTCTACCCAAGGGTCGGAGATCCTCGTTGTTGGCAAGCACTTGTTGCAAAGTCTCTTTGGAGATCTGAAAGGTTTCAGTCTCTATATTGATGGCTTACACAAACATACATATTGTATCTCATTCAATTTGCCATTTGCCGCGTAGATGAAATCGCCAAAGACGCGACTCTGAAATGAAATCGAAAAGAGTCAGCTTCAAATGAAACGTTTTTATAATCTTGTAGGCCATATTGGAAACGCTACTAGAAGTGGATCAATTAGTAGAATAATTGAAACGAAGAAAGTCAACACGACCTCCTCTCTTAAACGTAGATTTTCATTGGAATCTCATTGGGTGAAGCGTGTCAAATAAAAACGAATACCTGCTTTGTCACCTATTAATATGTGAGGAATCCTGATCCATGACAAATTCTCGAGAGGAATTGATTGGACTGAGTGAAATGGGTCTTTTGGGAGTGAAAAAACTATTATCTCAAGTCTCAGTCGACAAGAGATACCAAATAAACCCGGATTTGGGTCTCAAAGCCAGAGATTTTGCTCTGCAACGCGGTGATTTTCCCCTCGAGCTCTCCAATCTTGGCCCTTTCGCTTTGCCTACTGGCTGGTTCGGAGACCCGTGAGAGTTTGGAGACCCGCTGATGTGTTGGGATTGGGTTGGATTGGATTTTCAACACCCTCTCAAGATCTCAAGCGGACGGTGAATCTCTTTCTGACCAACTTCAAAGTACGATCACGAGACAGAATCTCATCTCGATCTCAGGAGTTTTTTTTGTGTAAAATAAGCTAAGACAGTATATACAACAAAATTGTCGAGTAGGATTCTCAAGAATTCGTCGTGTCTCACGGTTCACATACATAAAACCTTTGACAGAAGGCTTAGTTAGAAAGTTTTTGAACTTGATGATAGTGGAGATGCTCTGTTAAAATATGTAATCAACAAATTTTGAAGAGCACAAACAAATGAAGTTAGCAAGTCATTTCTGATGGGAGAACAACAGCTTCATAGTCAGGATGGTAAATGGCGGGTCTATCCTCCTAAGTTGGAGGCCGATTTGGTTGACGGAAGGGAGAGAAATCGAGAATTGGAAAGGAAAATCGCCGAGACGAAAAGGAAGGACGACGATCTCGAAGCACAGTTGTATTAAGTTTGTAATTTCTTTTTTGTCAGCATAAAATATTGATAAAAATCGAACTCTTTTTAGAAGAACTCAAAATACGGAAGTGGGAGACGGAAAAGCCAAGATTCGAGTGCAAGACGGAGAAATCAATCAAGGTCGTTTCTGTAACAACTTTGGCACAACGACTCTTTGGTCGAGGGAAAAGCCTCCTTTATGCACGGCGATACTATCATTTCGTTTGGTTTCATTTATTCGAGGTGTTATGTACAGCCCTGATTAAAAATGAACTGATTGATATAATAATAAATATTTTAGAACTTTTAAATTCTCACAACGTTGGCTATTTCGTTTCGCAAAGAGTTTCCAAGCCTCCAATTAGTTGTATTTTCAATTTAGTCTTGAGAACACACATGAAAATTCCCACACTTTTGTCTCAGGCTCGGCATTTTTCTCATACACCAACCTTTTTTCGTCCGAAGTTTATTCGACCACAATTTCCCAAGCGAAAAATTTTTAAGCTTTATAACTTTTGAAAGCGTGTAGCAAAAAAGAAAAGCATCCTGATCAGTGTGAAACTCTGCGTCGAATGGTCTAAGGCTCATATGATTTGGGCAGCACATTCAGTTGACCTTCCCACAAAGTAGTCTCCTGATTCATTCATCTATGCAGAAGCTAGAGAATCACATCAGTGGATCTAATCGCCAATCTCCGAATCACCCAGGACTGCACTAATTAGGAAGGAAAGATCCTTGATATCATATTGTAGATATTTGCGATTTCAGGCGCTGCTCACCTCGCCGAGCAATTGCATGGTCATCAATGCCGCCCGTTGCTGCCATTTTCAGTCCGTTTGGCTGCGTCGAGATCTTCGTCGGGCTATAACGATATCAGGAAATATTTGACTCGAAGAGTTTTCTTTGTCATCAGTTTGTGATTTCCTAGTTCAAAAGGGTTTTTAGATATTCTGTTTCACGATAAAGTTACATACTCGCAAGCATTCCCCTGAGACACAATATGCCATGGACATCATCGAAGGCCATAAGCTCATAGACAAGCTTCAACGAAAAGAGGCAGTTTTTTGTCAGATATAATTCACAAATCTATGTGCCACTTCTCGATCTCTGACCGTTTTATTATCTCTGAAATAATTAAAGAATATTGAATGGAGTTTCGCAAAGTCTGGGAAACACACATGAAAATACCCACATTTTTGTTTCAAACTCCGCGTTTTATCACTCACCAGCTTCACACGAACTGATTGTTTTATTTTTCCTCAAATGCCACTTTTTTTTCTGTTTGAAGTGCTATTGGAAGCGATTGTTTCAACGGCTTAATGAGTCAATCGTCGGTTGGAAGGCGATCGCTTTTCTAAACAATTTCAGAGCTCTCAAAAGCTCTTTTCCGTAAAAAAACAATTGTTTATCGCATCGTAGCCTCATTTGTTCTTCCCAATTCCCCGAATTCAAAACGAATCAACCAATTCAGCGGAATGGGTGTGATGGCCGTCCGTCTCGTCATCACGATTCTCCTCCTTTTCCATCAAATTTCATCGTCCATTCAAGAAAGCGTTCAAATGGATCAATTCAAGTATTCTTTTCCCTTCCAATAGCTATATTGTCAACCATTCAGGTCTCCGAATGATCGAGAGGAGATTCTGTCTCGTGATCGTCGTACTTTGAAGTTGGTTAGAAAGAGCTTTTTCGATGATCTTAGATTTCAGCAGTAAAAAAAGACTGTCCGGACACCGTCCTCTTGAGATCTTGTCGAAGAAATTTGTTGGTTTTTTGGGAGAAAAGCGAAATTGATAGAATAAACAATAAATAGCTTTGAGTGTCCCAATGACAAGACTTTTCAGGAATCAAACCCAACAAGAACTCGTCGAGGCTCGAGGAAAAATCTGCGGACTCGAGAAGGAAATGTGGGTGAAATGAACAAATCGTGAAAAATTCAAGCTCACCTTTTTCAGTCAATGCGAACAAAAGGAAAGAACTGATGAATTCACGGAGATCAACTCGAAAATTACGCAAAGTGATGATCGATCGACGAAGATTGATGCTGATTTGAAAGCCGAGATGTGAGTCTTGAGATCCCTTAAAGAAATATCTGAGAATGAAATACTTCTAGAGATTCCAAAGTCGCCGAAATCTCAAGGGCTATCTCCGCGAGAATGGCTGAAATTGAGACGGACTTAATAGGGAAAATCGCCGAGACGAAAAGGAAAAACGACGATCTGGAAGCACAATTGTACTAATTTTGCAACTTTCTTTTTTGATTGAGTACTTGTTTAAAAAGTCTGAAGTAAAGAAATTCAGAAACGAAGAAATTCAGAAATCGAACGAGGACTTTCTTGGATCTGGATGGATGGTCGTATTTGGCAAAAACCGCTTCTTGGTACAAGGTTTGGTGAATGTTGTGAACCAGGCTTATCTTCATCTCAAGGTTATCGATCAAAAAATGACATTCGATGAAGCCGTGGCATATTGTGCGCGTCGAAAGAGCCATTTAGTCTCAATTCACAGTCAGGAAGAGAACAATTTTGTTCAGGAACTCGGTAAGAAATCGAAATGATTCAATTCTGAAAATTCATGGCTTTCACAGAAGTTTATGCTTTATGAATCACGAACAATCGATATTTATTTCAGCGGAAAATGTTTATTCGGGATTAAATGGGGGATGGGGGTTCTCGATTGGACTCAAGGTTGAATCTTTCTTATCGAAATAAATAAATAAATAAATAGAAAGTAATAGTTCTTTCAGCCATTCACGGAAGGCTCTTTGTGAAAAAATGATTCGTTTGACTGATAGTTCTTTGATGGAAATCTGAAATGATAGAAACTGATAGAAATCTAATCTGAATTGAAAAACTATTGGGTTGGGGACTATGACTCGGCGCCAAACTTTAAAGACACTTTTTGCACGCATAAAGCCTTCTTTAAATATACGTTTTCTTTCATCAAAAGGATCCACTATTTCTCTACAAAATTACTTTTGAGAGATTCCACAAAGCTTTTCTTTCGTGGAGTTTATGAACTTCCAAACGCAGCTGGTTAAAATGGCAAAGAGTCCGACTCATCATTTGAACAGTTTCTTTCACATAAACCTTCTTTGGTGTTTATATAAAAAAGATAGAGCACATTCAATTGCTTAAGTTGCCAAATTTGCAGGAGGATCCCAGCAATGGTTTTTTCTAGATAACAGTTTGTAGTTTTTGTGAAAAAATGGCCTTTTCTTGAGCTGAGGCGCTGTTTGAGTTTTCTTTTAAATGTCATTTTGTAGAGAATTAGCTAACTTTTCTATTGATATCAAGCGCGTATTATTTGACGAAGTCTGCTAGAAGTTTTAAAAATTTTTTTGATTTTTGGCGCCGCTTCATTCTCCCCAACCCAATAGAATATTTTTAAAATGGAAAAAGATTTGGTTGACATAAGGACAGTGAAACATAAAAATTTCTTTATTCAGAGAAATCCGAACAAAGGAAATGCTTTTGAATGGACGGATGGAAGTTCGGTGGATTTCACGAATTGGTATCCGAGACAGGATTCGAACACCCACGCTTTGGTGAGATTTTCAACGTGAAATCATCAATATTTATTCCAATTTCCAATGCATAATTAAACCAAAAATATTTCGATCAATCTTAGGAGATTTCTTTTGTGAAATAACGCAAAGTGTTTTATCAAGGGATTTCCATCAGAAATCAGCACATTTCAGCTTTGGAGCGACCTTGGGAAATGGGAGACCTATCTTCCTACCCGTCCGTGTCGTTTTATCTGCAAAACCAGCTCTCAATTATGATAAATGCTTTGTGTTCTCTTCTGTGGACAAAAGCCAATAAAGCACATTTTATTCAATCATCTGAAAACACAGTTGTAGTATCGAATCGCAAATTCTATCGATTGTTCTATTTTATCATTTGCCGGCTTAGTTCTAAGAAAGAACGCTCTTTGGTCATTCTTTGTTATGACAGTTTGTTAACTAACGAATCTCCTTTCTCCAGCTAAACGAAAATCACCGAATGGAAGGCGCAATAGTGGGTTTATTTTTCATCGATTGTCGACTGAGACTTGCGAATACAGTTTTTTCACTCATTTAAAGAAAAAAAAACTCTATTTGTTTAAAAAAATCTGGAGTAAAGTTTTCGAAGAAATTCAGAAATCTAATCTCACAGCGTGCCCGTCCATCCGGCTTCTCCCGTACACGTTCCCGAAGGCTTTTCCCTCAATGATGTAAAAGCATTTTATTCGCATTTTCGAAACTCGTCCTTTAGTTTATTTTTTTCAAGCTTTCTCGTTCTTTATTTTATCAAGTTTTTTAAGGCATATTGTCGACCCGAAAAGGCCATTTAATCACAATTCACAGTCAGGAAGAGCACAATTTTGTTTGGAATTTCGGATTGTGCTCTTCCTGACTGTGAATTGTGATTAAATGGTGATTAAATTTTTTCTTTAAATGAGTGAAAAAACTGTATTCGCAAGTCTCAGTCGACAATCGATGAAAAATAAACCCACTATTGCGCCTTCCATTCGGTGATTTTCGTTTAGCTGGAGAAAGGAGATTCGTTAGTTAACAAACTGTCATAACAAAGAATGACCAAAGAGCGTTCTTTCTTAGAACTAAGCCGGCAAATGATAAAATAGAACAATCGATAGAATTTGCGATTCGATACAACTAGCTTCGTGTCGCTTTCTCTCTGGTTGGTTATCTCTTTTGCCCCACTCTTCCGCACTAGCGATAATCATTTTTCTTTTTAGTAAAGGGCTTAGGAGACCGAAACAACAAAGAGATTTTCAATGAATCTGGATTGAAAAGAAAGATACAAACGTGAATCTGGGAAAAAGTTGAACTGTGTATATCCAACAAAATGGGAAAAGAGCTTATTTGCAATTTGCATTTTGCGATTTGCAATTTCTTGGAACCGATCTTTTAAAGATTTTATTTTTAAACAATACAATAAGGACAAACATTGTGGACAAAATAGCAAAAAGCTATGGCTCTTCAGTTAGCTTTCAACATTTGAAGATACAGGCCCCATAGGGTCGAATCGAGTCATCGTCGGTCATTAGCCAGTAGTCAGCGTGACCGGGTACTTCATGTTGTGAACGATCCACAATCGTTCTTCTATCGGGATCGTAGTAGTTCCCATCTGTGTACTTATACTTCGTCGCGTAATCGAGAGCCGTATCTGGATCGGGCGTGCAGTAAATTCCTGGCCCATGTACTTTGCCCTTGTTTTTTCCTGAACAACAGTTTTCTTAAGGATTTTAGTTACCCTTGATACCACTCGCGGTCCTTCAATCAGAATCGGCGCTGCGTTTTGCACCGTTGTTTCATGATAGGCAACTGGCCATTCCCCAACAACGCTTCGAATGCGATCCTTGCTAGAACTTAACTATTGAAATAGACAAGGGAATCTGTACTTATGGTTAATTATGGTTTTAAGAAACCAAATTCTCAGCGCATGGTATAATTTCAGATGACAAATCTGGTGCTCAAGAGTGCTGAGCTGATTGATCTGGGAAGCTTGTTGTCAACTACCACTCAACTGTCTCGGGCTATTCTTTGAAGACGATGACGCCTTTTTGACTTGATTCCCTTTCGACATGGCTTCCACTAAAAAAATAGCAAAAAGAATGATTAATACAAAGAATAGCAACTTTTAAGAGATGAAATGGTGCTTGAAAAACTGTTGACTTACAATGTGTGGAATGTAAATGAATTTATTGACCTCAGAACACTCGCAATACACTCAACATGTGTTTTAGGGAGATTCTCCTTGAAATACAAGTGCTAGTCACCGTCGGAGCATTGAAGGCTGCTAAATTTTGGATAATTAAAAAAGATCACAAAAAAACTGGTTTTTATATTCGTTCGTTTCTTTCGTATTCGTTTGGTATTAATTTTTCTACTCTGCACATCACTTGGTCCAGAGGAATTACCTTTGGTTACAATTAGCCAGTTTTTGTATGTCTCTTGAGTTTCCCCAAGCTGATTAGCCTTTATGGCTAGCAAAAAGTTCATGTATTGTTTAACTTAGCAAAAAGTTTATGTAGCAATCAGCTCAGCACTCTTGGGCACCAGATTCGTCATTTGAAATTATACCATGTGCTGATAATTTGATTTCTTAAAACCATAATTAATAGGATAACAAATCTTTTAACCCTAGCATATTTCCTAATAGTCTGCCAATACTACAATCAATCGGGGACTTGTCCCTCGCCGAGCTGTTAACTTGGCATTTCAATTGTCTTTCCATAAGATTTATCAGCATCCCTCCGGTTGGCTCACACTTTCTTTTCCACGGGTACAACTAATTCATTTCGGACCGGTTTTCTTTGCTAATCTGAATGATTTTGATCTAACCTATTTAGTATAAGCACACTGATGGGAACTACTACAAGCTTTTGTTTCAGTTGATTCAACTGTACATTGAAAGAAATTATAGACTCAATTATCTATAAATATTTCTAGGCTCGAGTCGATCCTAAGAGAAGAACGATTGTGGATCGTTCACAACATGGAGTACGCGGTCACGCCGACTACTGGATAATGAACGATAATGACTCGATTCGAAACTATTGATGTAAAAGCATTTTATTCGCCTTTTCGAAACTCGTCCTTTAGTTTATTTTTTCAAGCTTTCTCGTTCTTTATTTTATCAAGTTTTTAAGGTTTTTTCTCTGAAATCAATCAGAACTCAATAATTCTATTGGGTTGGGGAGAAAATCAAAGAAATGTCTAAAACTTCTAGCAGACTTCGTCAAATAATATGCGTTTGATATCAGTAGAATGGTTAACTAATTCTCTACAAAATGACATTTAAAAGAAAATTCAAACAGCGCCTCCGCTCAAGAAAAAGCCATTTTTTCACAAAAACTACAAACTGTTATCTAGAAAAAACCATTGCTGGGATCCTCCTGCAAATTTGGCAACTTAAGCAATTGAATGTGCTCTATCTTTTTATATAAACACCAAAGGAGGTTTATGTGAAAGAAACTGTTCAAATGATGAGTCGGACTCTTTGCCATTTTAACCAGCTGCGTTTGGAAGTTCATAAACTCCACGAAAGAAAAGCTTTGTGGAATCTCTCAAAAGTCATTTTGTAGAGAAATAGTGGATCCTTTTGATGAAACCAAACGTATGTTTAAAGAAGGCTTTATGTGTGCAAAAAGTCCCTTTAAAGTTTGGCGCCGACTCATTCTCCCCAACCCAATAATATCTCCATATACATACGGCTATTTTTAGTGAATCATCCAGACATCCTGAGTGCAAAAATGCGAATCTGGGCGAGTTGATTTGAGTGAATGTATTCATTACGATTCAATACTTTTAATGACAGTTTCAGGACCTCAAGCAAGCAAAATCTGATGCTGATGGAGGTTACTATCCCGAAAATATCGATAAGGAACAATACACCATACGTTATGCCGGATTTAAGAATAAGGAACTTCGTGAACTCAAACAAGGTAAATACTCAAAACCTTTACAATAAGAAGCTTCCACAATTCAGGAAAAACAGTGTCCTCCACTACAAGAGCAAATCTTCGACCAAACGATACTTCTGGTAGTTTTTGTCTTTACGAGTTTTAAAAATGTCAAAACTTATAGATGACCTGGGGCATGTCATTCCTGTGATGCTTCAGGGTTCGGCAAAGAAGGAAGAGAATTTCTTCCGACAGAATTCTTCTGTATAATAACAGCAATATTAGGCATCTTATAAAAGAGCATTTTTAGATGAATAAATCGTTTGGAAATTCGGAAGAGAAGAAAATTCGAGCAGAAATTCAGGCTCTAGTCGATAAAGAAGTCGAAAAAATTTCATCTTCTCTGGAGGCTAGAGCCAGAGAAAATAAAGACACCGAGCTCGGCTTGATCTGGATGTAAGTGAATAAAGCTTTAAAGCATTAGTTCTTTCTAACGATGAGTTTGCTTTCAAATATCGTAGTCTTGCTTTTCTAGCTTCAACAAGCTGAGGAAGGACAATGATAATCATTCACTCATCAGACCTGCTTCCATTTTACATCTGACTCAATTTACTTCAAAAGGTTCGAATCAAAAAAATCGAAAAAAAAAAGACGGTCGGGTACCACTTTTTCAATCCAACCGATCTGGAACATGATTGCACCAAGAAGGTAGCTTTTCGATATCAATTCAATTCATTTTCCACAATTTAGATGATCGAAATGATTCGAAATTCGAATGATTCGAAATTAACCACAAGTGTTTTTAAGTATAGTATCAAAAATCTGGTGGGTTCAATTGGACATCAATGTAAGCTTAAAGAATTTAGACTAAACCTATTCAAAAGCATATCGATGCTATGGTTCAGGCGATGAAGCCTCGGAAACGTGGTTCAGGCGATGAAGCCTCAAAAATGGCACGTGAGGTGTTACACTCGTTGAAAGATGAAGGTGGGTATTTAGAGTTTGAATAACAAAATAAGATTAAAACTCTTGGAACATAAATGGAATGCAGAGATTATTGAAGTTATTTACACAAAAGTGCGGCTTATTCTGGAAAAAGGTGAAATCATCACGGAAATCCGAAATCATCGATATTTATTCATTTATTTATTCCCAATGCATAGTTAAGTCAAACCAATTTCGAGGTAGATGAATTCTCTTTAGTTACCCAAATCGCGACAAATGGAAAGAGTCGAGGCGGCTTTAATGAGTGCCGAAGCTGCAACGAATGTCTTAATGAAAAGGAGCCTAGGCTCGAATTTGTTTAAGGCTCATCAAATGTTGATGAAACTTCGACGAGAATCAAGAAAATGTCACCAAAGCGTTCAAGAA